AAGTCTTATTTTGGCCTCCAGAAAGGGTCTTATAAGTCCTTATTTCAACATGTGTCTTACTACTATGAACCCTGGTACGGCAGAACGCTGGTGTCACGGAGTGGCAGCTACCCTCTAGTGTAGTCCATCATGTAGCTGTGGCTCGCCCGGCACGTAGCGCGAGGCTGCAGCACTGTACTGAGTAGCTTAGCTAGCTGTCAGCTTAGCAGGGTGTCACATACATCATATGGAAAACCTCTGTCTCTCTCCTGCTCTGCCTCTCTCTCTCTAAGTCTTTCTCTCTCGATGTGTGTGTGTCTCTCTCTCCCCCTCTCCCTCTCTCTCTCTCTCTCTCTCGCTGGTCTCTCTCTCTCTCTCTCTCTCTATGTCTTTCTCTCTCGATATGTGTGTGGGTCTCTCTCTCCCTCTCTCGCTCTCTCTCTCTCGCTGGTCTCTCTCTCTCTCTCTCTCTCTCTCTCTCTCTCTCTCTCTCTCTCTCTCTCTCTCTCTCTCTCTCTCTCTCTCTCTATTGTTATACACGTAATAAAATTTTCATTCATAACTTTTTCGCGCGCGCAAGTGTCACACGCGGCGAAGCTGCGAAAACTACAATCGGATTACGCTCGATGGGAATTAACTTGACTAGGAAAAAATAACTATTGTGATCGCGAAAACAATTTTTTTTCTGAAAGAATCTAGATCGTTCGCGAGATGAAAAACGTCACGGGCGTGAGAGATAAAGACCCACCAACCTTGACAGAATCGCTCGATGGCCGGTACGAAACAGTCGTCTAGCGTGATCACCATGGCAACGAGTAAGTACAGCACGACGATGATTAAGATGCTCGCTTGTCCCGCTACGGGGATGCTGGCGGGGAAGAGGAGCCGAGGAAAATGCGTCACTTCGCCCAGTTCACACGAGCAACTCGTGTTAATGTCCGAGTCGGATCCGGCAGTTGATGTTTGGTCGATTCCGTACGCCGTCCCATTCCATTCGGTCAAATCTGAAGCGATAGCAAATGCGTAACTATAACTATAATGTCTCATTCCGATAGATTTTGTTCTATTTTTTATTTTTTATTCACGCGTGGTGTTGCGTGCCTTAACGTCTACATATGCCACTAAGTAACGTTTTCCTACTACAAATACTCACGCACACAAGCCCGCTTGCCCGTTCTCGTACATACTCACGCACACAAGCCCGCTTGCCCGTTCTCGTACATACTCACGCACACAAGCCCGCTTGCCCGTTCTCGTACATACTCACGCACACAAGCCCGCTTGCCCGTTCTCGTACATACTCACGCACACAAGCCCGCTTGCCCGTTCTCGTACATACTCACGCACACAAGCCCGCTTGCCCGTTCTCGTACATACTCACGCACACAAGCCCGCTTGCCCACTCTCGTACATACGCACGCACACACAGTTCGGTAATGAAACCATACGAAATTATATAGTAATTATATCAATTATACAGTCTATATAGTAAGTCTTGATAATAAACAAGGATGTGACACCCTAAAGACAGCCAAAAAGAGATATATATATATATATATATATATATATATATACATACATACATACATATTCATCACTCTTTCTGTGTGGCCGTGTTCCCAGCTTCCCATCTTTAAGAACTACAGAGATTACATTACCCGAGTTCTTAACACCCTATGCGTGGTCAGATAGAATGATCGTGTCAGTGCTAGCTTCACACTAATGCTTACTCCAACTAAATCCAACTGTAATAGCGTGAAAGATCTATAGACATCTCACCCTGTTGCGTGGTGTTCCGAAATGGCTCGGTCGCAGTCGACCCCGTCTCATCGAGCCATACCATAGAGACCGTCGTGCCCGTAGATACATCACCGGCCGTCGAATTTTCACCTGACAGGACATCCTGAGTTTGACTCCTGGCCAGACAGAGCACAGCGCAGACGATATATACTGAAAGCATGGCGGCTTATACGCAAATTCTGTGTAAGATCGGTATGGGTTATACACGTACAACGTCCAACGTCTCTTACACGTATACGTATGGTAGTATAGACAATAATCACTGGTATCTACTTCTCGATTTCACTCGGTTCGCGAGTCAAGTTCCTTGCGATGAATTGGGAAAAATTTCCAGTCGTGATCGTTTTCGACGTTTTACGGAGTGTTACGTATAGCTGGATAGTCAGTCACTAATTACGTACTGACTTCTTGATTTCACTTGGTTCGCTAGTAAGTTCCTCGCGATGAAAGGGGGAAATTGACAATCGTGATGTTATCGTAGCGTTGAAAGTAAAGAGCAAATGAATCGTCTGCAATCTTCGCCTCTCTCTTCTTCCTACGCAGTTGACTATAAGAGATGGGTTACGGCATGCAACCAGTTCCAACCTCGCAGACGTTCGTTCTGTCGGCCAGGCAGGTATGTGACGTATGACAAGCGTACAGGTGCGCGTGCTGCCCGTAACCACTACCAGCAGCTGATGACAATGCACGGAAGGCTACGCGCGACATCTAATAAGAACAAATAAAAACAGCCGCCACACGTCTCGTCGCCCTGCATGCCCGGGCATGCGCTGTTGTGAAATAAGAGCCAAACGTGAGGACAACAGAAGCGGTATATAGGTATACGTGTAGAGAGATCATGCAGGTACCATGCGCGTATACCTGCATACATCAGTTAATCACACACACGCGCCAGGTGCTGCTGCTACGCGGGTGTTCTGTATTGGATATATGCGGCTCCAGTGACAGTATGTGTTATTCGCCAACGTCGTATTCCAATAGTACAGTCTGATCTCGTGATGGCGTGTGTGATGGTGTGACCCCAACAGTTGTGTGATCGCGCACTAACATAATGTCAGATAATGTGTACCTATGCACAATCGGTGCTTACAGGTGATAATATCATTGATAATATGATTTACACACAGTCTGTGTGCGTACTGCTTTAGACCAACAGTGTGTGTGTGTGTGTGTGTGTGTGTGTGTGTGTGTGTGTGTGTGTGTGTGTGTGTGTGTGTGTGTGTGTGTGTGTGTGTGTGTGTGTGTGTGTGTGTGTGTGTGTGTGTGTGTGTGTGTGTGTG